TCTGACATGTCCCCATGCTCCTCCTACAGGAGATCCGCATTCTCCAGTCCCACATCTCTGACACCTCAGTCATCGTCAAGATGGACAACAGCCGAGACCTGAACATGGACTGCATCGTGGCTGAGATCAAGGCTCAGTATGATGACATTGCCAACCGCAGCCGCGCCGAGGCTGAGTCTTGGTACCGCAGCAAGGTGAGGGGCTCAGGACCCTTGCCTCGTGCATGGGGCAGTGGGAGGGGGCATCACCCTGTATGAACAAGGCCTCTTTTGCCTGGGGACTTGATGTCCTGAGTTGGTGAGGGGAGGACAGACAGCTCTGAGGTTGGGGCCAGGGCAGGGCTGGCTGGCTGGTTGCACAGGCTCAGGGTGCCCCATGCTGAGCCTCAGAGCATGTCTGCCTCCCCCAGTGCGAGGAGATGAAGGCCACAGTGATCAGGCACGGGGAGACCCTGCGCCGCACCAAGGAGGAGATCAATGAGCTGAACCGCATCATCCAGAGGCTCACGGCCGAGATTGAGAATGCCAAGTGCCAGGTATGGCTCACTGTGCCCAACAGCAGGGGGGCTGGGCCCTGCCCTGTGCCACACAGCCAGGCTGTGCCCTGTGTGGGCCTCACCACTCATTCTGCAGCCCATCTGCCTGACCAGATCCCCAGCGTGGTCAATCTGGGTGATCCAGGTGAACAAGCAAGAGGGCCTGTTTCTGGGCTGTTCCCAGCTGTAAGGAGACCCTGGGCACATCCAGGCAATGACATATACACACACTTGGGGACCATAACCTCCCCTGTTCTCCTCTGGGCCCCTAGAACACCAAGCTGGAGACGGCAGTGACCCAGTCTGAGCAGCAGGGCGAGGCGGCCCTGAGCGATGCCCGCTGCAAGCTGGCTGAGCTGGAGGGCGCCCTGCAGAAGGCCAAGCAGGACATGGCCTGCCTGCTCAAGGAGTACCAGGAGGTGATGAACTCCAAGCTGGGCCTGGACATCGAGATCGCCACCTACAGGCGCCTGCTGGAGGGCGAAGAGCAGAGGTGGGTCCCATAACTCTTTACTCCCCCAATCATGCTTGGGCTCTCAGCATGCCATGTCCCTCACACTCCCAGCATTCTCTCCACCTCCATTACTACACCTCACCAACCTGCAGCTGGACAGGAAACTTGTGTAAGTCCTTTGAGTCTGATCTAGCCCCATCTGAATGTCATGCTTACCTAGGCTGTGATATGGGATTGACGACTTTTATATATCTGAATTCAGAGTTGTGTATATGTCGGGTGATGTCTGTTCCTGAGAGTGTAACTTAACCTCGGGTCACCTTCCTTGAATGGCATTCCCTCTTTCCCAGTCTTGGTTTTTGTGTCATTCAGGATTACGGCTCTTACCTAGCCTGGTCCTGCCTAATTCTTGCCCTAGCCCTGGGAATTCTGATTTATTTCCTAAAGCCTGCTTCAGCAGGAAATCCCTTCAAACTTTGCTTACCTACTGTAATCATAATAAAATACTCCAAAATGGTCTTCCATTATAGCCTGGGGCTGAGGTAGACCAAGAGCAGGATCTGTCCCTTGTGGCAGGTTTGTCTTACTCTCGGGAGTTTTGTTTTTGGCCTTCTCTGGAGGTGGGGATGGAGGTAGGGGAAAAGATCCTTTGGACATTCAGACTGCCCATGGCTAGAGGGCAGCTCTACAGCTCCAGCCTCTTAAGGAGAGACTCTCAGAACTAGAGCTTAATCTTTTCCTTTGAGTTTTGTCCCATAGTTGTTTATTTGGGTGGGAGGTTGTCTGTCCCCCCTTAAATACATTTACAAAAATCAGAACCTAGAAACTGCTGCAGGGAAGAGTTCTCAAGTGCTCACTGCGTGCTGGGTACTAAGCTTTGCACGTATGGGAGCTGATTTTCCTGATGAGGAAAGCTAGGCCCAGAAAGGTTAAAACTCACAATGCATAGTTCATAAGAAGCGGGCAGCAGACTGCAGGTGCTTGCAGGCCGACTCCAGAACCCACGTGGTGACTGGGATCTGTGGCTCCCCTAGCTGGTTTCTTACTCCTTTCCCCTGGCAAGTCCCCAAAGGGAGATCCACGAATCACACCTTGCACCTGGTTGCTGATCGCGGAGCCTTTCCCGCGGTACTGACCTGTCAACTTTTCGTCTCCCAACAGGCTGTGTGAGGGCGTTGGCGCCGTGAACGTATGTAAGTAGTCCGAGCCCTCCCCTTTCTCCAGCTAAGGAGGCCCGAACCTTTGGGGAGGGGGCATCGCGCTCACTGCAAAGCCACCTGGCTGGAGCTGTGCCTGACGCTTGGCTCCCTGTTCTCACCCATGCAGGCGTCAGCAGCTCCCGCGGTGGCGTCGCCTGTGGCGATCTCTGTGTCTCCGGTACTTCCCCTGCTGTCAACACCAGAGTTTGCAGCGCCCCCTGCAGCGGCAACGTGGTGGTGGGCACCCCCAACGCCTGCGCCCCCTGCGCCGGGGCCGGCGCCTGCAGCGGCGGCTGTAGGAAGTGCTAGGAGGCCTCCTACAATCAAAGCTACAATTGAGGGCCACCGTCACCCTCTGCCCAGCCAGGACTTCGCGCAACCGGAACGCACCACCCACTGCTGGCCTCCCCGAGCCGGTTGGTTGCCTGATGTGTACACCCTACACTTCGTCCCCGCCTGCTCCCCTCTGGGCGCGCTGAGCCCCGGGAGGCAGGGGCGGGTGCCTTGGTCTTTTTCTGTAACCTTTCCCAGTAGTCAGTTTGTTGTCCCAAGGATTCATTCTTTTCTTCCGCCTTTTGTTTTTTTGCTGGACTCATTGGTCCTGCCTGACCCCCTTCTCCAGAGCTTGGAGGAACAGGACCGGCCCCAGAATCTTCCTTTCTGCCCTTTCCAGGAGGTTGCTCAGGTGCTTTCACCTGGAAATGCAAGGGACCCGGCCAAGGGAGGGAGGGAGAATACCTCCTTCCTGGGCTGCCTGCAGAAACTTCTAAAAAGCCAATGACTCAGCTGCCTTCCTGCACGTTTGTCTGTCTCACTCTGTGCCTCCAATAAACTAATTGTAGCGAATCAAACCTGCTGTCTTGGAAGTGTCTGGGCCCTGCTACAATAGCTGGGACTTGCTGTGATTGATAGGTGTGGCTGGCTGTGCCTAATAGGTAGGCCCTGCTGTGATGGATAGGTGGGCCTTGCTGTGATTGATAGATGGACCCTGCCACAGATTTCCTCAGTCCTTAACCATCCACATAGATATTTTCAGTAGGTAAACATGATTGCAGAAGGCGCTGTCCAGCTGGTCTTGAGCAAGCAAACTGGGGACTTGGGGAAAAACAAAGACTCAAGGGGACTGTGGGTTTCTCTAATCCAGGGTTGCTTGCAGCAGCACTACTGTCATTGCAAGCTTCGTAATTCTGTTGAGGATGGGGTCGTGGTGCCCTGTTCACTTTGGTCCTGCTGGCTTCTAGAACTAGATGCTGGCAGTGTTCCCCTGTTCCCTATTCTGACAACCAAATATGTCTCAAGATATGGCAAAATATGTCCTAGAGGTTCTCAACTATGGCAATACTGTCCCCTCACCCAAGGGCATTCCTTGGGGGATGTGTGTGAGTGAAGGAGAGAGTGGAAGGAAAGTCTCGAGAGCCATGGGCAGTGGTGGGGGTTGGGGGATAGCCAGAGCTCTGGGATGGAAGTCAGGAGAACTGAGCTGCTAATTCAGAGTTCTGATGGCCATCTGCAACAAGGGTCACTTGGGCAAATGGCTTCCACTCTCAACTTCCTTCTGTTTCCTCACTGGAGAGTGATGGAGGGTGGACAGTATTCCTGAGATCCCTCTTGGCTCTTTGAGTGAGACAAGGTGTTTGAAAGGGCTTGGTTCATACTGACCTGGTTTGAACACCGGTCCCAGCCACCTGCTAGTTCTGTGATTGTGGTCATGTCTGTCATCCTTGCTGGGCTTAAGCTTCTTTGTGGATATGATGCCTAGGGCGCTGGAGGGAAGAGTTTCAGACATCTAACCACACAACAAATCATGCAGATGGAGAGGCTTGGCATGATACTTTATCATTTCTCATGGTTCTGTCAGTGTGCTGTGTGCTTCTCCTTCGTGTGATGTTGTTTGGGGTGCTAGGATGGCTAGAAGGACAAAAATGGCCTCACCCATAGGACTAGATTTGGTTCTGGTCACCAGCTTGGAGCTCAAGTGATGCTTTTGGGCCAAGATATAGCTGTCAGGATCTAATCAAAGGATAATAATTGAATAGAGAAAGTTAATATAAAGAGTTGTATTAGAGGACTGGAGGCATTGGCTGATACATAGCAAACACTAAAGAATATAAGAACTGGGGACAGGATTGGCTCAGTGGCAAAGTGCTAGCCTAATTTGCATGAAGCCCTGAGTTTGATCCACTGGAAAAAAAAAAAACAGAACAGAGCTGGGGTTGTTGCTCAGTGGTAGAGTGCTCGCCTAGCATGCATGAGACACTGGGTTAGATCCTCAGCACCACATAAATGTAAAATAAAGATATTGGGTCCACCTAAAGCTAAAAAATAAATATTAAAAAAACCCAGAGAACCAAACATTTAGGAACTATAAACATAAGGAACAGCTCCTACCCCTATGCCTTTTTTCCAGGATTAATTGGTAATTTCCCCACACTCTAGCTAGACTTGTCTTCCTGAGGACACTCAGGCTCAGCCTGATGCCAACTCCCAGAGCCAATGCCACAGGCTTTAGGTTTTGTTATAGCAGCATCCCACAACCAGGTACCAACTTTTCTTCCACTTAGCTATTGCAACATAACAAAATAGCCCCAAGCTTGGTGGCTTAAGACAACAATATTTTTCATGTTTGTGTAGGTTGATGGGTGATTTGTTGGCTTTCTATGATTGGCTAGGGCTCTGGGATGGTTTGAAGGTCCAAAATAGCTTCACTCCTATGGTTGGCATTTGGTGGTGTCCACTGGCTGAGAGTTCAGCTGGGGTGATAGCCAGGGGCCTCTGGGTTCCTCCAGGTACTACCACCTGTCATCAGTACTATAAAGAGGGTGGTTGCAAAAACATTCTTGTGGGTGGTATTGGAAAAGTTCACCATCACCAACATGTTTTCTATGAGCTCAAGCTTGTGCCACTTTAGGACAGTTCTGGTTACCTCCATTTCAGCACTACTCTAAAAACCTTCTTACAATACTGTCTATTGGCACCCTCTGAGCCCTGTATAGAGGGGGGATGAAAACAAGAACCTCAATGCGCTATTTTAACATTCTTTCCATGATTGCAAGCTGGTACCACACTGGTCAAAACCCTTTCTTTCTTTTTCTTTTTTTTGGTACCAGAGATTAAATCCAGGGGTGCTTAAACACTGAGCCATATCCCTAGTTCTCTTTTGTATTTTATTTAGAGACAGGATCTTGCTGAGTTACTTAGGGCCTCACTAAGTTGCCGGCTTTGAACTCATGATCCTCCTCCCTTAAAGCCTCCCAAGCCACTGGGATTATAGGAGTGCGTACCTGTGCCCCAGTGGTTAAAACCCTTTCAAATGGCTCCTACAAATGCTAAAGAACAGAGAAACAAATTAAAAGCTAAATAAATAAATAAATAAATAAATAAACAAACAAACAAACAAATCAACAAAAATTGGCTCCTACAAGCTCTCTTACAATAGCACCTGTTGGAATCTTGTGAGCATTATAGAGAAAGTGGCAGAAAACCAGAATCTGAGCATGCAGTTGAAAGGTTCTCCATTACCAGTGCATTTTCTGTGAATGTAAATTGTGCTTCTAGGGGTGCTCTGGTCACCCCATTTCATCCACTCTCTCTCTAATGCTCTATAGAGCACAGAATCTCCCTTCTACCACATTCTGTTCCATTGGTCAAAGAATTCTCAGGGCCAGCCAGGATTCAAGAGGAGAAGAAATGAGTTTTTTCTTTGCTATGAAGAGCAGCAGGGGCAGAGAGGGAAACTATTGTTGGGAGATCATTCCTAAAGACAGCCACCACAGGAGGATTAAATGAGACAAAATGGATACAAGTTTGGAGTATAGCGTGCCACAAAGAATACTGGAAACTTGGCATTCATCGTTGTTGTTATTACTATTACTGAAATAGCATAACAGCATCCTGAGCCTCTGAAGAAAGGGGGCAGAGTGAGGCAGTAGGAAAAAGAGGGAAGACTGGAAGTCAAGAGGCTTGGATTCTCATCTTGGTTTTGCCACCAAGAGTGGTTGGTTGGGATGGGGATGTGGCTCAAGCGGTAGCGCGCTCGCCTGGCATGTGTGCGGCCCGGGTTCGATCCTCAGCACCACATACCAACAAAGATGTTGTGTCCGCCGAGAACTAAAAAATAAATATTAAAAATTCTCTCTCTTTCTCTCCTCTCTCACTCTCTCTTTAAAAAAAAAAAAGAGTGGTTGGTCAAGGCTGTTAGCACAAGAATACTGGGCTGGATAGAAACTTCACTGATCAGCAAAAGCTTTTATTCAGGAATGGAGTCATGCCTCTGATGGACCCACTTTCTTGGTGGAAAATAAGCTACGGGCCAAATGGGGAGTTTACACTTACATGGGGTACACTGAGAGGCGACTTAATTAATGAGCGTGTCAGTTTAGGCACTTAGGCATTTGGAATCTGTTTTGCTGGGCGAGATGGTGGGGGTGGGCTGGGGCCAGTGGTCAGTATCTGGGATTTGTCTTTACTGGGCCAGATGGAGGGTCTGGGGAAGGATTTGTTTAGGGAAGGATCAATGCTCTGGCTTCTTTCCAGAGACTGTCATTCCAGACTTGATGGATATCTCCTCCCTGGGGCCTTTCTTGTCCCTGGGAAATAATGTACTGGGAAAGGATCAATGTATTGCCTTCTCCCTTCTACTTCCTCCCGGGCCACTCTATTTTGGGGTTTGTCATTTTCCATATCCAATAAAGGCCCTTCACTTTGGGGGCCTCAGCTAGTTCATCCATGTGGAGTGGGGGTTAGACCATCAGCCCCTTGGATGTGCAGGAGCCTCAGCTGGTGCGTGAGCAGGACAGGTGTGGAGGGACCGCTGCTCAGGAATTGTCACTACCACAGGCTTGCCAGCACAGAGGGCTCTGATGGTCGGATGGCTCACAGTCATCAGGGAACTTTCAGAGAAGAGGCAGTTGGCTCTCTGAGAAGTTCAGAAGGCCTTGCTAATTGGCCGACCTACCGAGTGCATGGGAAATACCATGGCTGATAACACGCAAGGTGACAGGCCAAGAAAGTGCCAGCAAGGAAGAGTCCTTGAGAAACACCCTGGGAGGAAGGAGAGAACTTTTACGGGGTGAGCTGGAGCATTTTAAGCTTCTAGGGGGCTCTGGCCTTGCTGAGCTCATCAGACTGCCTGGAGGGTTCCCGGCTCTTGGTCTAACCGACCTCTTCACATGCTGTTCCTGGTCTGCGGAGCTCACCTCTCCCTTCTGGCTCATTCCTTACCCACATCAACCTTTTGCTGTAACACGAAAGCCTCAGGGATAGGGACAGCATCACTGATCATTTTCCTCACTTCTGGGAACCCAAACCCGGGTAACAGCAGGTCTTGGTGTGTAGCGGGTTTCATGCACTATTTGTTGATTCAGTGTGGACTCCTGATCTTCCTGTGGGCCTCAGCGTCAACACTGCTTCCTCTAGAAACCCACCCACTTTCCCAGGCTAATAATCCTCCAATGGTGCTCCTCTTTTTGTCCCCCAAACAAAATGGGGCTTGTGGCAGTGCCCTTCCTCTTGGTGGAGAGGAGGCGGGGCCCAGGACTCAGATCAGAGGCTCTGACAGATGGAGAGTTTGCAGCCTTGGTCTTGCCTGGGCCCTCAGGCCTGCGGGTGGAAGGAAGGTGCATCACCTCCCATAGGAATGGGCCCCTCGGGCCCCTCAGGTGTGCTGTGATTACCCCGAGACTAGGACTCCTTAGGTCCCTGGGAAGGGAGTGTTAAAGCCCAGAGTAGAATCAAGCCATTTCTCAAGGTCACGCTCTAGAGGCCCTTGGAGAGAGAGCTTCTGGTCCCATCTCTCATTTGACCTGTGTCCAGGGTCTCTGAGTGAAGTGGCACCCCCTTTCTCCACAGAAAAGCCCTCTTCACCATGGCTGATTTTAGGACTGTCAGCAAAAGAGTCTCTGCAAAAGAGTCCAATGTAGATAAACTTCCTATTTTTGTGTCACCCTGTTTACTTGGCCACTGGCTGGGAAGATACCAGCATTCCAGGTGCTGGACACCCCCTTACTAGTTTTTTAAAAACATATCCAGTATAGTACTTTGTAGAACTGTGCAAACAAGGTCTCTGGCCTTGAGCTGGACTTCACAGAGATGTCTACATTTTTAAGATAAGTTACAAATGGGCTCCATGGTAACAGCTGGCAGGGGGAGGAAAAAAAGGGGAGAAGAAGCTCTCCCCTTCTCAGATGTTGTCCTTGAAGGGTTAACTTGCCCAGAACAGTGAAATAAAAAGCTGATTTTATGTGAATTTCTGCAGACTGTGAACTTCTGAGCCCCTCCCCTTACACGCTGGGTATAAAACTCTGAAACTCCCTGAACTCGGGGTTCAGGAGATTAATTGATTACAGCAAAAACTGTGCCCTCTGAACCTGGCTGCAGCCAAATAAAACTGTTTCCTCCTATCTTCGGTGCCTTGCCCCCTCTGTCCCTACAACATGAGGCAGAGCAGGGGAGAAAGGTGGGAGCAGGGGGACTGGGGAGCCGTGAGATTCTGAGTGGTCAGTCAGAGCCAGATAGGTAGGGCTGGCATGCTATGTTTGACAGTCTGGGTCACCCTGATGGCATTGGGGGTCCATGGAAAGGTCATGCTCACGCTCCCTGAAGGTCTCTCTGGCTGCTGTGGAGCAGGGGCTGGAAGGGAAGAAGAGAGGGCCTCCAGGCAAGATGGAGGTGGCCTGGGCCAGGATGGGGCAGCAGGGAGAGAGAGGAGAGCGGGTAAGAGAGGTATACGGGAGGCAGGAAGGGAAGCCCTTGGGAGCTACCTAGTTTTGAGGAAAAGGCATGAAGAGATCTGGGTACTGGTTCTGGCTGAGTTGTGGGGCCTACTGTGCTGATGGTCTGGGTAGGGGAAACAAGCAGGGGCTCTGTTGAGGGCATGGGAAGTGGTGAGCTTGGAGGTCGTGGGCTCCAAGTGTGTCTAGGAGTGCCAAGGGAGCTGTCCCATGGGAACTGTGGCATGGCAGTCTGCAGCGGCGCAGGGAGGCAGTGGAGGATCCTCAGGCCTCTGAGCTCAGCTGCAGGCATGACCAGGCAGGAGCTCAAGGCTGCCTAGGGACAGTGTGGGGGAGGTGAGAGGGCCCTGCAGTACCGGAGTGTTTAGGGGAGGTGGCATGGAGACGGAGGAGAGCCAGTGAGCAGGGCTGGCTGGGAGGAGCTGAGGGCCTGGTCTGTCAAACAGAAAGTCCCAAGCTTAGGGGACTGGGAGGGGTTCAGAGAGCACAGGGAGCTTGGTGTGGAGCCTGGAGGGCCTTAGGGGGGATAGTGAGTGAGAGAAGAAGGTGGGTCCTCCAAGAACAGCAGGGGCAATGGGTGGGGAGCGGGGCAGGTGGAAGAAGGGGAAGGGGAAGAGGGTGGGGGAGGATGGGATGGGGTGATGAGGAAGTGGGCAATGTTCTCACCAGAGCTCTCCCAGACCTATTCCTGGAGGGTGGGGTTAGGGGCCTCTCAGCTCTTCTTCCACAGAGTTCCAGGGCACAGGAGAGGTCAGGCAGAGGGGGCAGGGGATCCTCTTAGTGCTGAGGTTGAAATTCCTAGGTATGTGGGGACAGGGTGCTCCACAGGCAGCTGGGGCCAAGGGACGGTGCCTCTTACCAGCTTGAGGGCTTTTGGGAGCCGAGGAGGGTGTGTGTGTGGAGGGCAGGATGGGGAAGGTCAGGGTCAAGGATCTCATCTCCTCTTGTTTGATGAGCAGCATGGTGAGGAGGACAGTGCCAATGGTGTGTGGCTTCCGGATAGACACAGGGTGGCTGTTGGCCCATCTGGTGGCTACTGCTGTGGGTGGATGTGGTGTTGTGGGGCAGAATGCAGATGTGAGGGGAAGAAGCGGGGCGTGTGCCTGGGAGGGGGTGAGAACCAAACACACGTTTGCCACACACAAAGGTTTCCAGCAGACCAGTGGCCTCCTCTGCTTCCCTCAGGAGAGTTGGAACTAAACCAGGCTGGCAGGTGTACTGTAGGTAGATGTGCCAAGAACACCAGCAACACTGCCTGGCCGGGGAGGGCAGGCCCCACAGGTGCCCAAGCTGAGGGCAGGCCAGAATGACCGTGGTCTCCAGGCCTTATGGCTGGGCCAAGTGCTCACCAGATGGTGGGTATGGATTCCTTCTGAGAAAATAAGCAAAACACAGAGGCAGGCCTCACAGTTTATTGGAAAATGGGCGACCAGAGGGCAGAGAGTCATGGGAAGCACTCGCACCCTGTTCCTTCCAGGGAGGGAAAGCTCTTCTCCCAGCAGGGGCTGGACCAGATAGGGGAGGGCAGCAGGACAGGAGGGGCAGAAGAGTGGAGGTGGCCAGGAGGCGGGGTGCATTCGCAGAACGCAAGGGGGGAGGCCACAGATGCGCTGCTGTTCTCAGTTGCAGGAGGAGCCGTGGCAGGTCCGCGGTAGGCTGGAGGGGCTTCCCTGGCTCTTCCGGACCACCTAACACCTGCCGGGGCCGCAGGGTGCACACATCCCGGTGTTCACTGCCAGGTTCCCGCTACAGGGGGCGTTGCAGGCACTGCCTATCACCGGCCGGGAGCCGGACACGCAGAGGTCCCCGCACACGACCCCGCCCCTGGAGCTGCTGACACCTGCGGAAAGGACAGTAGGATCAGGAGGCCTGGCTGGTGGCCGCCCCAGCCAGCCATCTTTCTTTGGTCTAATATGTCTAGCCCTCCTGGGAAAGCCACATGAAGCCTTTAGTTCTAATTCTGAAGCTGTGGAGGAAACCCTAGCCTGGGAGTCAAGAGGTCTGGGTTCTGGTGCAGATCTGCTTTGAGCCTTGTGCAAGTCCCTTCTTCTCTCTGGGCTCAGCTTTCTCACTTATACAAGGCAAGGATTACACTGAGTGACATCAGTTGGCCCTTCCTTCAGTGACATCTTTTTTCCCTCTTCAACCTCAGTTATGTTGTGAGTTTCTTCCTGCAAGCTAACTTCAGTCTCTCCTGCTGGGTGACCAGTCTTGTCCCCTTTACTGGGGGGATTATTGCAAATGCTTTCCCCAGGGTCTCTGTATACCCCTAGTCAGGAGATCCTTGTTGTTGCTCAACCTAAAATTGTCCTTTTCGGGGCTCAAGATACTTACAGACATTCACAGCTCCAATGCCTTCACACAGCCTGAGTGGGGACAAGGTGGGGAGGGGAAGAGAAAAGAAACCAGAATAAGATTGAGATTCCCTCAGGTGCTGGAGTGGTGCAGCTCGGGGCTGTTTCTGATTTACATTTCTGTCTTCATACAGTTTAGGAAAAGGTGTCTTTTGGGCACTTGCAGAAGTGCAGAGGCAGACTACTCAGCAAGCAGAGCGATGGCTGGATTTCAACTCTCATTTGCCCTTATCTGGCTGTCTTTGCACGGTGTATAGCCTGAACTACCATACCCAGTAGACTTGGATAGGCCCAGTTTTAGGAGTGGAAGGTCCTCTTGGGCACACAAGGTCATCACTAGAGTCTGGTTAGCAACTCTGCTGTGGGGCAAGAGATCTCCTAGAAACCAGGCAGGGTGTGGAATCTTAGAAGATTGAGGATGGAAGTCTTGAGGATGTTCTGAACCGATATTCAGGAGGTTGAGGTTCTAATCCTAGCAGGGCCCTGGGTTACATGGGGCTCTGGATATCACAGTGGCCCTGGCCTTGTCTGATGAGAGGGAACATGCCTAAGTTTCAGACCTGTGATATCTGGAATCTAATCAGTCAAGAGCACAGCTTGGGGCCAGTCCTCGGGATTATGACTGAGACACTAGGAATCAGAGGTGGCAGGTCTACGCAAGTAGTTCTTGGGGCGGGTGGGGTGGACCCACCTCTGCTCCTCGCCCTCCAGCAGGCGCCTGTAGGTGGCGATCTCGATGTCCAGGCCCAGCTTGGAGTTCATCACCTCCTGGTACTCCTTGAGCAGGCAGGCCATGTCCTGCTTGGCCTTCTGCAGGGCGCCCTCCAGCTCAGCCAGCTTGCAGCGGGCATCACTCAGGGCCGCCTCGCCCTGCTGCTCAGACTGGGTCACTGCCGTCTCTAGCTTGTTGTTCTAGAGGAGAACAGGGGAGGTTATGGTCCCCAAGTGTGTGTATATGTCATTGCCTGGATGTGCCCAGGGTCTCCTCACAGCTGGGAACAGCCCAGAAACAGGCCCTCTTGCCTTGTTCACCTGGATCACCCAGATTGACCACGCTGGGGACCTGGTCAGGCAGATGGGCTGCAGAATGAGTGGTGAGGCCCACACAGGGCACAGCCTGGCTGTGTGGCACAGGGCAGGGCCCAGCCCCCCTGCTGTTGGGCACAGTGAGCCATACCTGGCACTTGGCATTCTCAATCTCGGCCGTGAGCCTCTGGATGATGCGGTTCAGCTCATTGATCTCCTCCTTGGTGCGGCGCAGGGTCTCCCCATGCCTGATCACTGTGGCCTTCATCTCCTCGCACTGGGGGAGGCAGACATGCTCTGAGGCTCAGCATGGGGCACCCTGAGCCTGTGCAACCAGCCAGCCAGCCCTGCCCTGGCCCCAACCTCAGAGCTGTCTGTCCTCCCCTCACCACCTCAGGGCATCAGAGTCCCCAGGCAAAAGAGGCCTTGTTCATACAGGGTGATGCCCCCTCCCATTGCCCCATGCACGAGGCAAGGGTCCTGAGCCCCTCACCTTGCTGCGGTACCAGGACTCGGCCTCGGCGCGGCTGCGGTTGGCAATGTCATCATACTGAGCCTTGATCTCAGCCACGATGCAGTCCATGTTCAGGTCTCGGCTGTTGTCCATCTTGACGATGACTGAGGTGTCAGAGATGTGGGACTGGAGAATGCGGATCTCCTGTAGGAGGAGAGGGAGTAAAAGAACAACTGAGTTATCTGGGCTTTTTCTCACCTGCTAATGCCCATAATCTCTTTGGCTCATCCAGAGCCATGTTTGGAGTAGAAATCTCCCTAATGAAGTTCCATACACTTTTGCACAGAGTCAGTCCCCATTAGGGACAACAACAACGACTTCTTGGGTGCTTGCTTCTGGAATTATTCAGGTCCATGTGAACCCAGGCTGCTTCCCACCCACTGGCAGGCCCTAGATCTTCCTAGGGGACAGACTCTGTTTGGAGCCTGTTTACATTCTCCTTGACCAACCACATGGAGGTGGACTCTTGCCTGCCAGAAAAACCCTCAGCCAGGAAAACGGCTGAGTCTATTTGCTGCCCTTGTGGCCTGTGCTGCACCCACTGCTCAGGGAGGACACAGGATGCTTCCCAGACAGTGTTCTGGGCGCTCCTCCTCTTGCCTCTGCCTATTTGGTCTGCTTTGGGTTCTGTTCCTCTCCCCCAAATTCCACCCTGGAGCCTGGTCTCAGTCGTCAGGCCTGTTTCAAGCCTGAAGGGGTCTGGACAAGGGTCAAGGACTCCATGGAGCCACGTGAGTGCCCACTTTGGCTGAGAGCCCCTCACCTCCTCATACAGTCGCCTCAGGAAGTCGATCTCCTGGGTCAGCGCCTCCGCATTGGCCTCCAGGTCTGACTTGCGCAGGTAGGCGCAGTCCACGTCCTGTGTGGGGTGACAAGGGGTGGTGAGGCCAGCTCTTCTGGGTCACTCTTGGCATGTGGCTTCAGTGAGTCAGACCAGAGGGGACAGGTGGTGTGGCCTCCAGGTGGGTTGGCTTCAGATACTCACCTTCTTCAGAGCAACGAACTCATTCTCGGCCGTGGCCCGAAGTGTGACTTCTTCTTCATACCTGGTGGGCGAGAGAACAGGGCCTGGCTGCCGGCTCTGGGCCTGGGCTCTGGACATGCCTACAGATGGCCTGATTGCCAGCCCTCCCCATGCTCATCCTGCTTCCATAAGACATGGGTAGGGCCCAGGAGAGGTCAGGCTATAGGTCCAGGCCTACTGGTTCCCTTGGGGCACGGAAGCACCCACTCCTGTGTCGGCTCTTTTCTGTGGAGGCAGGAGTGGAAACTGTGCTGGTGGGGGTGTGCATGGGCATGTGTGTGGGCATATGCACACACACGTGTGGTTGGGGAGAGGAAGGTGGCCGTTTGTCTCCCCTTGTCTCCGTTTTCCTTTCCTCTGAGCCCTTCCCTGGCTATGACTGGGCAGCAGGTAGAGGGAGTCCTCTCTGTCACTTCCACTTGGAGGAGCCAAGGGAAATAGAGCCTGCCCGTGTCCTAATGTGTGGGCATGCAGCTCCAGGACAGGGTGGGGGTGTAGGAGTGAGGTGGGCCAGGGGACACCATGGCTGAGAAGGTTCTTGAAGGAGGCTGCCACCCTCAGAAGGAGTGGCTTTTCTTTCTTTCTTTTTTTTTTTTTGTAGAACTGGGGATGAACCCAAGGGTGCTCTCCCACCAAGCTACATCCCCAGCCCTTTTACTCTATTTTTAAAATTTTGAGCCAGGGTCTCACTAAGTTATTCAAGTTGGTTCTGAACTTTCAGTCTTCCTGCTACATGCTCCTGAGCTGCTGGGATCACAGGTGTGCGCCACCATGCCCAGTTACACAGATGCCTTTTGAGGGTCCAGGACTCACTCATCCTTCACATCATGTCACACTTTGTCACTGAAGGTCTAGACCTGTGACTGTCGTGTCTGCTTCCCAAGGTCAGGGGCCATACCTACACTTGTCCCGGGATCTCCAGTGCCCAGCCCAGGGACTGACTGGCACAGGTAGGCTTAGTGGATGGAGCGAAGGAAGTCCACTTAAGAGTCAACTTAAGAAGGGTGTCCAGGACTTTGAGAGCTGCATGCAGGGGGACAAAGGGACCCATATGCTTCTGAAGGGTCTGGTAGATGAAGAAGGGGAGGGAGTAAAGTTGTCCTGAGCGGCTGTTAGGAAGGCAAGGTGAGCCCTGAGGGCCAGGACCCCAGGGAGACCTGTGCCTGGAGGAAGGGCAGGTGCACAGGTTTTTCCCATTCCCAGCAGCGATCTGGCCACAGGCCTGATGCTCCCCTGGGCTGCGAGCTCCCACCAGAGCCAGGCTCTTTCCTGTGGCACTCACTTCTTCTTGTAGCCCTCCAGCACCTCCCGCACGTGGTTGAGCTCTGAGGCCAGCCTCCCGCTGTCGGCCTCCACACACTCGGCCTCCCGCCTCAGGGTCTCAATGTAGCCCTCGAACAGGGGCTCCAGGTTGCTCTCGCAGCACTTGCGGTTCTGGTAGAACTGCAGCTTGGTCTCCAGCAGCTTGTTCTGCTGCTCCAGGAAGCGCACCTGCCACCCAGAGAAACAGCCTGAGATTCTCTTCTTGCAGAGTCAGAGGCCAAGAGGGGATCCCAGGACCAGGATCTGAAAGGCTTCAACTTTGAGGTCCTGATAACTGCTTGTTGGGGGGTATCATCCTTCTCAAAAATCACATTAGGACTTAAATCAGTTCACCGCCTAGAAGTCCTTCTTGAGAGCTAACCTCAATCTCTTCTAAGGCAATTTACCCTGTGTCATGAAAAGTGTTTAAAAGAAGTTGATTGTAGACTTTGATCTACTTGTTGACAACGTGACCCTGGACAAAGCACTTAGCCCCTCTATAGAGTGGGGCAATTAAAGTACACCCCACTGTGGAGATTAAAAGAGACCCAGCACAGAAGGTCATGTCCACACTGAATAGCTGCCTCAACAAGTCAGATGCCAGGGGCCCTGTGCAATTGCACAGATGCACCTTTTTTAGAAAGGCAGGCTATAAAAGTTGAAAAATAAAGCACATACCAATTATTCAAACCCTACAACAACAATGCAATTAGAATAATAGTCAGCTGGGATATTTGAGTAGGAATGCCTGTGCCCTGCCCTTCATCTGACAGAGCCCACAGGAGCAGGAGCTCACTGACTGCTGAGCCCTTACCTTTGCTCTGCAGGGGGTCTTATCTCCCGGTTATAATTAAAGACTGTTGGGTCCCAAGCAAAGTTTAACAACCATCTATCTCCCTGCCACCAGCTTGGTCCATTGCCCCACTAAGATTCTTTTGTCTGATAAACTGGCACATCCCTGCAAAGTTCTTTCTCATGTGTCTTTGGTGTCCATTGTTGTTAACCTCTTGCCTTTAGATATTTTGGACCTTCCTGGCCAAGTCTCTACTGGAACTTGAGGGTGGCTCCTGAGAGTCCCTCCTGGCTCCTCATGGGAGACTTTCTTCCTGATGAGTGGTGCCTGGACTCTGTGACATGGGCTGCAGACTTAGCTGGATGCTGATTCAGCAGATGGTAAAGGCCCTTGAGGGTAGGGATGGTCTGTTGCTCCCGCTGGATCCTGAACCCTACACAGTGGCTTGAACACACTACTCTGGCCCTGCTCAGCAGCCAAGTCACCCACTATGTGGGGTAGAAGCAGCTCAGTGTGGCCCATGGGATCACCTCCAGAAAGTCTGTCTTGCCATGTCCTGGTCACTGGCCCTGACATAGGAAGCACCTCCTTGCCATGTCAGGAGTCACTTGGCTTCAAATGCACCAAACACCCACACTGTGGCCTTTAGCTCACAAGGTGATATCATCTCCCTGTCTAAAGGCTCTGCCCCTAGTTCTCCTTTCCAGCTTTTGGTTTGTCTCCCCCATGAGATTATCAGCTCCTGATCCTAATCTTGTCTTTCTGTCTGTATCTTAGAAGTTTGATCACTCTTCCCTTTGGTCTGGGAGCTTACCTGGGCATGTACTCACTTTCGACTATCCCCATCAGTGCCCAGGCCTGGCTGTGTACCTATGTTGGGGATCCAGGACACCCACCTTGTCGATGAAGGCAGCGAACCTGCTGTTGAGGCACTTGATCTGCTCCTTCTCCTCGTGCTTCACGCACTGTGCGTTGGGGTCGATCTCCAGGTTGAGGGGAGTGAGCAGGCTCTCGTTGACGGACACGGAGGTGATGCAGGGTGGGCTGGGTCCGCACACGCCGCCAGAGCGGTAGCCGAAGCTGCGGCCGCAGGAGCCCGAGCGGAAGGCTCCGCAGACGCTGCGGCTGCCGAAGCCCCCGGTGATGCCGCGGTAGCAGGAGATGCCGCGGTAGGGGGCGGCGGTGATGCAGCAGCGGCCTGGCCGGGGCCCGCAGGCCGAGGCGCAGCTGAAGTTTCCAGCACGGAATCCGCAGCCAGCAGAGTTGAAGCCACAGGTCATGGTGGAGGCGAGGAGGTGTCTGAACAGTGAAGTTGTCGACGGATGCAGCCAAGGGCCTATGCTCCCTGGGCCGTGGCAGGCCTTTTTATATGCCAGGAGCCGCTGGCATTAAAAGGGGCAGCAAAGAGACAATAGCTGTGTTTTATTGGCTTGGCATCACCCGACCTCTTAAGCTCCAACCCGCTTGCCTCTTCAGTGTGGCTGTGTCAACAGTCCCAGCGACAGGCCCTGTTTCATCTTCAAAGCCCTTTACAAGCTTCCTCCTTGCCTCTGCCCCTCCCCTGGGCACTGGAGTGGCAAAGGCATGGGGGCTCCTGGAAGCATTGCTCAGACCCTGTGCTGGGGGATGCACTGACCTGCAGAGCCAGCTCTCCAAATCCTGTTCGGAGCTGGGCCTTGTGTCCCAAACAGTCTCTTTACTCTAGGCCTCCTCGCCTTCCCCTTACCTCTCAGCAAGATCCTTTCCTTATAGTCAAGAGGAGCCTCTGCTAGCCCACTTCTGCCCAGAGCCTGGCCAGGGATGGAGTGAGGGTGGAGATGGCAGGGAGATGGTGTTTGCATTTTGGGTATTCCTAGTGCAGAGACCCCAGAGGGGACATGGGAGGAGCTGAGTCAGAGAGTTCAGGACAGAACCAGGGCTGTTCTTCTGAGTTCTGGGCACCATTGCTGGTGGGATTTGGACCAGGGATGGGGACGTGGTATCCCCTGGAGCTCCAGGGCCTGATCAAGAAGGGCATCATCTGGGAGAGTGAGGAGCTGGGTTTGAGGAGAATTGGGGCAAAGTGGTGTGGGTTTGAGACTAGATAAGAAAGGAGTCCTGCTCTGGTATGGAGACTAGACCCTGTTCCTTCCTTCATTTTTCTGGAAGTGCTTACTGAATGCCACCAACTTGTGTCGTCTATAGCACTCTGTTCTGGGAATCCAGCAGAGTCCTGGGCGTTTGGAGATAACAGAGGGTGGCATGTACTCCAGCGTTTGGCTAGTGGGGATGGCGAGAAGTCACAGGTGGAGGGGATGTTCCCACAATGTCCTGCCTGAGGAGTTGGGCTCTGATGGGAGTCCTTTAGGTCCTCAGCAGGGAAACTCAACAATGGAGTCCTGGTGTGGTGCACCCACTAGGAAGGACAAAAGATGCTGTGGGTGTGGGGGTCACCAGGTTCCTGAAATGGAATCCCTTCCTCTCCTCAGAGGACCCACTGGGTGAGAGAGGGTCCTCATGTGGGTATCCCAAAGCCATCCTCTCTTAATTTGGCTCCTCATTCCTTAGAGCTGGGCAAGGTGATGGCTTTGGTGGATGGACAGGAGGACTGAGCCAGGAGGTTTCCCCTAAGCAGAGGACTTGAACCTATAAATCCTCCTAAGCACACGTCTCTGGACTTCCTTTGAGGATGGCTTCTTTGATGGAGCTGAGTCCTGACCCTGCTTCACAGGCCTGGTCTGGGCTAAAAATAACCCTCCACGTGTCATGTTGGGCCCTTGCCTTTTACCCTCCCCACTGCCACTCAGGGTTCCTGGAGATTTGGGGTTGACAGGGAAGGGGCTCTCTCTTTGTGGGACCTGAGGACGGGTGGGAGATGGTGCTGTGGAAATTGGCCAGGGAGCTGGACAGCACTCACCTCTATGCTGAAGGAAGGCCCCTCCTGTCCCTCCTCTTGGGCCCTATGCATATGCTTCTGGTCTTGTCTCTGGGTATGGGTTGTGGAATAGGGCATGAGGGACACACCAAGGGGCCTCAGGCCCTTGGGCTTGGGTAGCAGATTCCAGTTCCAGTGGCTGCTGGGACTTTGGAGCCCCTTTTAGGGAGCTAGGACAGGCTGTGCTTTCTTGCCAAGCCTCTGCCAGGTCACATCTGCCAGTCATCCCAGGAAGAACCCAGGCTTTCTCTCCTCTCATCTTGACCCACACTGCAAGTGGTGAGCTGAAAGGGTCTTGGTACCTATTTAATAAATCAGTGCTACTTTTTCCTTGGCAAAATACTGAGGGATACAAGAGCCCATGAACATTTCCTCCGTCTCTGCCCCAGTGACTCCATGGCCCTTCTTTGACCCAGAGGGCTTGGTGTCAAGTTGGACCCCATCACTGGGGGCTCTGGGTAGACACGTAGTTCCTAGGGTAGGGGGAGCCATGACAGTGCACACCCCTGTAGGGACTGGAGCCGATGGAGCATAGATTCCAGAGATTAAAAAAGAAACCAAAAACCAACAGTTTGAATCCCAGCTCTGCAGTATACTAGCTCTGTGACAAGGCACTGGCTGTCCCTTCGTTTCCATACTTGTCAAGTGTGAATGGCAACACACACCTTGCTGGGCCCTGGGAGGAGTCAAGGTTCCAGGTGGGAAAAGGGCCACTCCACCCCCACTCCATGCAAGCTGGTGACTTGGTTGCATGTAGCCTGTGGGGACTTGCAAAGGGACAGCGTCGTGAGCCAATGACATGCCAACTGCCAGGCTTGGGTCAGCAGAAAACAGCTGATGGCTTTACAAGGCCACATCACCACCTCAAAAAGCCTAAATTAGAGCACTATTTGTAAATGGCTCAGAACAAAGAGGACTGGAACCAGGAGTTCCTTGGAAACACAGACAGGAAGTTGACACCGGATAGTGGCAGCCTGAGGCTGGGCTCCTTCCACCTGCTCAAGGGCCTAAATAAAGCCTCTCATCCAGCCCCATGTTGCTTTAGTCACCAAGGCCATTGCTCTGTGCCTGTCTATCTGGCTGTTGGCCTCAGTCTGCCCAGGGGTCAGCGGGAAACTGGCTACCTGCCTGTTGGTCTGTCCTCTGGTTCCTGCCCAGCTCTCTGGGCCAGGAGCCTCATTCTTGACTGTATCTTTCTGACTTCTGATCCACAGATGCTTTGACTTTGTCTTTATTCTTGTCTTAATATCTTAACAGAATTCTGATAAACAAGCCTGTAATGAACATTAGTAAATACATCTTTGTGTGCTTCACTGATTTCCTTAAAATGAATTCCTGGAGGTGGACTTGTGGGGACCAAGGGACCATCCTGGTTCCAGGCATGCCTACCTGGTGCCTTGGCTGTGGAAGTAGTGTTTCCACGGAGAGGCTGCTGCTGGGGAGTAGTAGGTCAAGGAATCAGATACAAATCCCATTTCTGACATGGTGTGACCTATAATCCAATCTCTGTAAGCCTTGTTTTCTCAGGTGTAAAATTAGGATTGTAAGACTGGCCTCTTGGGTCTCCATGAAGATGAACCAGCTGGAGTATGGAAGTATGCTGAGAGCCACAGCAGAGTCTGTATGGTCCCTGGCATTTTGCCAACAGAATTGGTTGACAGGTGGGGCATTACTATCCATCTCCGTTGCTACTTTTGAGTTCTGGAGCTACTTTGGAGTTCTCGTGGGGATTCCCAGGGATTCCCTGAGAGTTCCCATTGGTTGGGGAAGTGCAGGAGGAGGGATTTCCGGAGGACATTTTTCCTGTGGCTGGTTCCTGGACAAGCCACGTGGATTCAGGAGAATTCCCGGGAGCATGTGTGAAGGTTTTTGGTGGAGTTCAGAAATAAAGTTTGTTCCTGCTTCAGTGGCTCGTGATTTGTGCCCAGCCAGACAGCAGCAGAAGTACAAGGAAGGAATTGGATCAGAGGGGGCTGCATAGGCAACTGGCTCCCTGCCCTGGACAGGAGGAGTCCCTAGGCCTCCACTCACCTTCCTTCTCCCAACCTCATGCTCCAGCTTTGCCTATTGGCCTTGAACTCCTAGCACACCAAGGCCTATGGGCTCTAGCTGATGAAAGGTGGCACTGTCACATATTCAATAAGTATTTACTGAATGAGTACTGTGTACTGAGAGTAAAGAGAGGGACTTAATACAAGGATCCAACTGTTAAGAGGGTAGGTTCGTAAACACACACTTGTTAAATATGTACTAGATAAAACAGTTCTTGGAGGCAGTTTATGACCTGTCATCCACAAGCACATCTTGTCTCAGGAGCTCAGAGAAGCTTGCCGTGGCTGCTGCAGATGGAGATGCTCTGTAGGAAAAGTCAGGCCTGAGCTGGGCTTTGAAGGGCGGGGAGAGTTTGGACAGGTTGGAGGAGTGGAGTCAATGCCAGGCAGTAAATGGCAGAAAAGTGCTGGCTCAGGCTTAGAGAAGTCGTGATGGAGAAGGAAGCCCAGCCTGTCCCAATGAAGACTGAGAACAGGACAAGGATGAGCACTCTTAAGGCCCTGCTCTCCCATGCTGGAATTCCTGGCCAAGGAAAGAAGTATGGGTTATTATTAGAAGCAAAAACACAAAACTAACATTTTCAAAGAAATGGGACCAGTTCCATGGAAAACCCAATATAATTAACCAGCAAACTATGGAAATAGCAGGACAGGTGAAGCAGAACAACTGCCAGTTACAGGATCAACTTACAAAAATCAAAAGCATATTCTATTATCAGTGACAACCAGTCGGCAAATGATAGAAAATAAGATACTATTCCTAAGAACGATAACAACAATGAAGCATTTACGATATAACTTTATAATTATTCACAATATTTTTTATGGACAATGATGTAAAACTCTGTCATGAAAAAATGTGAAAGAAAACCTGATACCATCTTTAGGAATACTTTGGCCTAGCATTCTAAAGCTATACATTCTCTCAAAATCAAGTTGCAAGTCCAATGCAAACCGAATAAAAATTCCATCTGGAATTTCTTTTGAGGAACATGATAAAACCAATATAAAATTTATATAAAAGAATAAATGTTAGAGTCTGTAAACAAGTCAAAATGGCATCTAGCATTTTGCCAGGGGAATGTTAAAGTTCATAAACAAGTTTGGTTGATGCCTGGCAAAATGCCAAAGGGAATGATTTGAAAAGTAACAAAAGCGAGCCATTAAGTGTGGAGATTCCTTATTGGTTGACTGATGTATCTAGTTTATGCTAATTAAGATAAACTATACAAAATATATAAATACCTCTGTTGTCCTAAAATAAAGGGCTTCCACTCTTGCTGCATCAAAGTACACAAGTTATTCGTCACCCCCCAGCTATTTTGCTGCAGCCGGACTGCGGCAAATAAAATTC